GTAACTAATTGACCAATCGTTCTGTTTTTTTTTAAAAGAAGCGTCTTTCCAAGAACTTTTAAAACCTGCTTTAAAAAATTTGATTTGATTAAATATTCACAAAGTAGTTCTAATTGTTTATAAGTACAAAAATTCGACCAATGTTTAAACAAGCGCCAGAGCTGTCCTAATTGACGGATTCGGATTTTTCAAAAAAAGTTTGAAAGCTTGAGAGCCCTTCTATATGAGATTAAATTTTCAAGTATCTAAGGGTCTTGGTTTTTGCTGTGCAAAATTTTGAAAATTTGCAAATTTTTTTTCAAAGTCTGGATTGCAGAATTATTCTGCAAAATATATCTAACCGATTTTGATGAAATTTGGTGTGATAATTCTAAGTAACATGAAGTTTTTTGAGCCAAGTATAAGGGTCCTATACCCAATTTAAATACCCCAAAAAAAAAATCCCTAAAAAGTATTGTATTTTAACCGCATTTTTGCGATTTTTTCGATTTTTACCATAATAATCATGATTCATTCGATTTGTAACTAAACATGTTTTGTAAAAAAATTTATTCCAAACATTTTTTTCCTCTTCGATTTTCGCCTAAAATCAACTCTTGAAAAGATACATAATTAAATAGGAAGAAAAATATGACATTTTTCGAATTTTTTTAACATTTTGTGCCGCCAAAAGTTAAGCCCACGTATTTTTATGCGCATAGAAAACTATATCTATAACTTATATACACGATTTTAGGAGATTTTTTATGTAACTAAACAAGGAATCGAATCTAGCGCGTCTAAATTCGCAGATATCTGGCAACACTGTGAGAAATTATTTACTTCGCGTCCAGCAATTCGTGTCGAAATATATATTTTGAATAGTTGATGTAGAAAAATGATAATTGAAATAAATATTGGCTGAAAAAAAGCCGACCTGCATCAGGATTCGAACCGTCGACCCATGGAGACTATACAAGGAGCCCGAACTCCATGTAAACAAAAATCTTACAAAAATAAGAGGGCGCTAGTGTTCCATATGTCCCATATGTAGAGAGGGGAGATAAAAAGCGGCAGTTTGAATTATAAATCAATCATGTCATTTTTGTAATGTGTTAAAAATTTTAAAATAAATAATGTAAGCTACTTTGAATTATATAAATCATGAAAATATGTCATTCCGGACTGTAATTAAACTAAATAGATAATAAAAAATATTAGCTTTATGAGAAGAATTTGGTGTTCGTAGAAAGAAACTAGTTTTCAAGGAATTTATGACGTGATCTTGTTAATATTAACCTATAAGTAAGGTTTATGTTTTTGATAATTACTTTGTTAAAGATTTTAGTTTAATGTTAGTAAAAAATAGTCACATTTTATACAGGAAGTTGCCTTTAAAAAAATAGTAATTCTTGTATTAATAATATGGAATTTTTACTTGTGGTAATAAAAAATAGAATATAAAAAAACTCGGTGTTTTAAATAAACTTTTTAAAATATTACAGATGTCCGATTTTGAGTCCAGTGATTCAGATGACTTATTAGACGCATTGTCCAGCTTGAGTGATGATGAAATAGATTTACTCTAAGAAACAGAAAGAGTAAAAAATAAGAACTACTTTGAAATTACTGTACCTGAATATAGTGGCCAAGTTTTTTTAACATTTCCGTGTTAGCATATGGGAAGTAGCTAACAGAATTGAAGAAAAATTTGCCA